CGGGTACGGGTATATTTGCCATCCCTACACGTGACCAACAGTTAATACCGTTTAAATAATTTAGACGGAAGTCCCAAGTTGAAATCAATTAATTTATTAGGGACCAAATTGATATCAATTAATTTATTTGGGACCAAATTAAAATAAAAAATAAAAGTGAGACTAAATTAAAACAAACAATTATTATAAGGGACCAAAATAAGGTTTTAGCCAATATTTAACATCTAAATTACACATGTTAAAATATATATGTGTGTGTTTTGAAACCAGCTCAAGCCTTTCAAATTCAAATATAAAGTTATATAAAAGAATTGACCCTCCACCATTCACCAGATAACGTTCTTCCTCCGGTGCTTATACTTCTAGCTTAAGATCCAAATTTAAAAGGAAAAAAATGCATTATTTCAATTTAAAATTAAAATCAATTTTATTCAAAATCAACTTTTTAAAAATTAACCTAAATATGTACTTAGAGCATGTTTATTCGCTTTCCAATTTCTAAAGTTTTAAAAACTGAGTTCTACCCTTCAAAAAAAAAAAAGCTCAGTTCTAAAACAGTTTTATGTTATTCACCAGTTACTTTCTCATTTAAAATCTATCAAAATTTGAAAATTATTTTCAAGACAATTCTTTTAAAAAAAAAAAAAAAAAAAAAAAACTACTCAAAACGGTTTTATGATATGAAGTTTGAAATCCAACAACAACCGCATCTGAGAGTGTAGATTGTAGAAAAATGCCCTGTTTGGGATGGAGAGAAGAAAGAAAACGAAAGGGAAAATTATGACTTATAGAAGTTGGTGATGCAAATGTTGGCAAGAGACAAGAAAGATTGATTACGGAAGACATATAAATTAGTTTTTTTTTTTTTTTCGTTTACAGAAAATACATAGATAAAGTTAGCAACAAGTCTTCTTAATCGATTATTTTATCATCAAATTGAAACATACCATAAATTCATTGCTCGGTTTGTTTTCATCTCATTGTTAGCTACCTCATGATGAACTCTTTGGCTTGGTCTTTGGTACAATTAACAACTTAGAAATGTAGAAAGAAAAAAACAGAAATCTTACTATCCTCATCCCACCCAAGTTCTCTAACCTCTGCCCAGTTTCTCTGTTTTTGAATTTTGATAAACGGATTGAATCTTAACAAAACAAAAGAAAGAAAATAGAACAATAGTTAACCTTAATAGCTAAATTGCAGTCAAATGTTTACACTAACATAAGAGCACAAAGAATCCGGCTCCGGGAAATAGTCTCTGACTTTGAAATCCTAACTAACAACTACCCTTTAAGCAAACTTCCATCATCATCATTGGATTTCACAATGTGAGGACTAATCACTAATGTAGTTGTTGTTGTTGTTCACTTTCCCAGCTTAGCTTGGACACAACTCTTTCATGTTGTGGAAAATATTCCTACAAGGGTGAAACCAAGTCTCATCAGTTTCAGTGAAACAATGAAGGAAATTAGAAGAAAGAAGAGATAGCATAATTAACAATTACCTCCATTTCTTTTACAAGCTCTTTTGGTGTTGGGGCTGACACAATTATATGCCGTGCATTGGGGCTGATGAACCCTTCCTCAACCGCTTTGTCAATGAAAGACAAAAAGGTGTTGTAGTATCCATCAACATTCAGCAACCCCACCTTTCAAAACCAAAACTTTGGTTTATACATTCGTACCCCACAAAATATGAAGCAATGAATTGTTCATAATTAATTTAGCTTTTTATAAAATAAATAATAAAAAAAGAAGTTTGGAGCATAAGGAGTTTACCGGTTTATCGTGAATGCCAAGTTGAGCCCATGTTATCACCTCAAGGAGTTCCTCAAGTGTCCCATAGCCACCTTTGTGCACATAAAGGATATTTTTTTTTTATCAGTACATAAAGGGCATATATACTATTACAGGCTTAAAAACATGATTACGTAATATCTGTTGGGAACAGCTGCCACCAGCTGCCAATGCCACTT